CTTCTTGCTAACTGTTCTTATAGCTTAAATGAATCCATTTCCATAAATCTATACCTTGCCACGTGGCTGGTGGCTTACCGGCATCTTCACATGCTGCTGGTCATGGTGGCAGCTGGCAGTGTCTCTCTGCCTCAGCCTTCTGCTTCCCACAATTCTCCTCTCTCCTTGTCCCACCTACTTCCTGCCTGGCCACTGGCCGATCAGTGTTTTATTTATTGACCAATCAGAGCAATTTGACATACAGACCGTCCCACAGCAGCCTGCATTTCTTTCTGTTTGTTTTATCATTAAATCCATTGTAGATTTGTTAGTTTGCCTTTATTTTTCTATTCAAAGTTTTTGAACTTCCAAGTAATATTAACTTACTTGTTTCAAAGAATAGAGCTATAAAAAAAGAATGTTTGAGACTTCAAATAGAGAAGCCTACCGTAATCTCACCTCCTAGTCCAGTGTTTTCTGACTTCTCAAAAGATGATTTCCACTTGCACTTCATAGCTAGCTCTTTAACTCATCTTTACCCAGGTATCTGATTTCTCTTTCTGGAGCTCTGGCTATTGTTAATGCAGTGCCCTGCTTTGCCTTGGATGGTCAATGGATTTTAAACTCTTTCCTGGATGCTACCCTTACCTCAGTGATTGGAGACAACGACGTCAAAGATCTGATCGGATTTTTCATCTTGCTTGGCGGCAGTGTACTGTTGGCTGCCAATGTGACACTGGGACTCTGGATGGTTACAGCACGGTAATATTTGCTCTCATCCAACAGAAGTACAGCTACATGGCAACATCTGTTGCCACTGAAATTCTTACTAGGTATGAAGTGTAAAGTGTTTCCTTAAAACGTCTTGGCCAACATCTTTGAGCTCCTCCTATATCTAGAGAATCCAAACTCTGTAGTAGAAAAGGAGTGGAAGAAATGAAAAGCATAAGTTCTGACTACGTTCTAGGTTTAAAGATTGAATGTGCAAACTTGGAATGTTTGTGGAACAATCTGTAAACATGTGAAAATTCATTGTTGTAATAATATTTTGTGTGACTATATAGCATTTTGGAATAGTAAAAGGGAAAGCAGAATCTGGTGGTAAAATTGTGTGTGTGTGTGTGTGTGTGTGTGTGTGTGTGTGTTTTACTAGAGTTTGAAGCCAGGGCCTCACTTATTCTACTTAATGCTAAGCAAGTTTTCTCCCACTAAGCTATATCCCCCACCCCAGGAAAAAAAATTATTGAAAAGTGCCATTAAGGTGATGTGGTGGTGCACACCTATAATCCCAACACTTGCCTCTATGTGTTTGGGAGGCTACACAAAAGGGTCATAAATTCAAGGTCTTCCATCTTTAGCTAAATAGTAGGTTCCGGAACAGCACTGGCTATATAGCAAGACCCTGTCTCAAACACACACACACGCACACAAAACAAACAAAAAATGGATGGACACACACACACACACACACACACACACACACACACTCGTCATTAAAGATTTAGGGAGACTTGATTTTGGTTAAATGGAAGATTAAGCAAGTGTTCTTGTTTTTATAATGCTTGTCTTTACCTTGTTTGAAAAGTATTTTAAAGTTTAATGGTGTATTATTGTATACTCTGAATACCGAGGTCTGAATTACAATTAAACCAGTGAAATTCTAGGAAAGTATCTGCTAACATAAAAGCAAAAACTCTGTGCAAGTGATGCCAAGTAAATGGATAAAGTTGAAAGTAGAAAAGGCCTGTGATGTGATAAGACAGTTTTGTTGCACAAGTATCGTCTTTTTCACAGTGTATCTTCACACCCTCACAACACACTAGCCTTGTTCTATAGAGTATGCTGCGGGGAGGATCTCCCACAGCAGCATGTGAGCTCAGGCAGTTAGGTGGATTTGAGATCTAAACTGAGTCCTCTAACAGATCACAACAGAGCAGACACTGCAGCAAATCTAGTCACCACTTTCTAGAGTTTTGCAGCTTGGAACTCTTCCAGGGTAGATCTTTTCCTTTATGCTGCAACAGCATTCAACCCTGAGCCATACTCTGTCCTCACCAGCATCTACTATGTTTTTCTCTGTTGGGGGATTAAACACCTACTCTTTGTTTTCCGTCTCCCCCTAAGCTACCTCTGTGAGTACACAAAGACTCAGCAAGATAGTGAGAATGGCTGCCCAAATGTGGATTTCCCAGTCTCGGAACAGACTCTTGAGCCCTAAAGAACCGCAGGTGGTCTTGTGGGTAACCGTGGAACCCTGGGAAATTCAGAAAAGTAGCTGGTCGGTGAAGCTGTTAGTCTTAGGGATATATGCACATACTGTTTCTTTCATGAAAAATATACATTTGATGAAACACACATTAGAAGTAACAAAAGACAATGATTCATTCATTAATAGCCAGCTATATACCTCCTTCCTGAAGTAAGGTACTTCATGAGGTTACCTTTTTCAGAACATTAGTCATCTTAAGCGCCTAAAACTTTTAAATCAATTTTTAGAAATTTTTAGACTTTATTACAAATTTGCCTTCATTCTTTAATAGGAATCATCCACCAAATATCATTTTGAGATTTTATGAATGATGGGCCATTAGTTGCTAACAGTACTAAAAGCATACAAATTTAGTAATTTTTACTTATCCCAGAAAATATGGCATTTGCTGTCTTCTGTGGTCACTCAGGACCAAAATGTATTTGCATACAAAAAATGCACAGACCTTTTTAGGTAAAGCTTAGAGAATGCCGTGAATACTCACATAATTAACTTGATCGCATGCATTAAGCAGTTTACTAATGAAAATGTATGTGTGTAAATCATTTTTGTCAATACTGAGGAAAACAATTGTTGTTTGGTGTGGTACTTTTGAACCCAGCATAGCCTCACATGCTAGGAAGCACTCTACCACTGAACTACCCCATAGGCCTTGAAAATACTTTAATAAGAGGAAATTCTGTCCACTAACTTCATTTTCTGGGTGAAAGCAACAGCAACAACAAAAGAAAACCTCATTTCATATTAGCTGCTGAACACCTCTGTCAGCTAATCTGTAGGGTTAGGGTGTGGGACCTTCTCTCCTCCTGGAAGTCCAGCAGATTTGTATACAAATGGCTTCATTGATTAAGAAAGGAGATGTTACATATTGTCTCTTCAGCTTCACTGTGGGTCTTCTACTGTGAGGACTGTGTCATTCATACACAGCTTTGTCTCCCTGCACAGTGCATGAGATATCATAAGTGCTTAATGTGCTTGAATGGACGATGATTAGTGTTTATTTATGGATAGAAAAGCATGCTTCTATTTAAGTAAGCTGTAAAAAGGATTGTTGAATATTTACTGTATATATATGTTAACATAAAAAAAACTTGGAAGGTCTTTATGTCACTGGTGTATTATGATCTTTATGGAAAAATCCATTTTGGTTTCTGTAGAGCAATTAGAAAAATGAATTATATTGGAAAAATGATTTATTTTGGTGATTTGAAGAAGTATCTTTGTGTTGTCACTTTGTTCAACAGTAAGACTTTATTCTCAGTGTTCCTATTCTGCATTGTTTACATTTTAAGGTTTTTATTTTAATCATCTGTAATTGTAAAGAATGTATATATTATTTTCAGCATCTCAGTTTGAAGAAACATACAGTTAAACTTGACTTTTTGATAATCACTTCTAGGTCATTGTGCTAACAGCTAATTGTAAACATATGCTTCATAGTGATGTGACTGTCTGTCATCATTGTGTTCTTGGTATTTATTGAGCATCCACACACTAGTGGCACACAGATATTTTTTCAATATCTCTTTTGAGTGAGCTGTAATTAATTTTTAGGCCTTAACTTGATGGTATAATAATTGTCAGAATTTGATGTTTAACAATAAAAGAACACATGTAAACCAGCATTTTATGGTTATCATCTGTGTCTTGTTATATTTTTTTATACTTGATCTTAGCCAAAAAGGCCAAGAAGCAATTGACTTTTTTAGTGTACATTTTTTTTCTATAGAAATGTCCCCCTTACATAAAGTAAGATCTTAGTTGTTCTTAAATTCTTAATTCTAAAAGTGGCCTTCTATTTCCATTTATATATTTGTATATGACAGTTACTACAGGCCTCAGAAAAAAATCTTTTAGGTAAGGTGTTCATGTTTATCATTTTGGAAGTGTTTGCTTAAAGAGGACAGCCACATTTCATTAGTGGTGTGTGTTTGTGTGTGTGTGTGTGTGTCTGTCTGTCTGTCTGTCTGTCTGATATGTGTTAGTATTATTATATTAATATTATTATAAAAGTATGCATGTGGAGGGAGGTCGCATGTCCATGTAGAGACCAGAGGAGGTTATTGGATATTCTTTTGTATGACTCTTCACCTTATTCCCTGGAGACAAAGTCTCTCACTAAATATGAAGTTAGGCTTACAGCCAGCAAGCCCCAGAGATCCTCCTATCTGCACCCCCAACAGCATTTGAGTTACAGCTGTGCATGGACACACCCTATTTTTAGCATGGGAGCCAGGGTCTGAAGTCAGACAGATCCTTAAGCTTGCAGAGAAGGCCCTCTAACCTACAGAGCCATCTCTCCTGCCCATTGTTAGTGTTTGGCAGAATTCTCCAAGTTTCTATGTGCTTTTAGGAATTCTTGAAAGAAAGCATTTGGTGCTTTGCTAGTGGTGGCATCCACCTGCAATCTCGGGACTTGGAAAGTGGAGACAGGAGAATCAGGAATTAGTTTGAGCCACCTGAGAACCCATCTGAAAAAAGAAGGGTGGAGAAGAAAGCAAAGGAAGAAAGAAAAACACATTTCAACTAAAGTATGTAGTAATAGTCAGCTTACTGTTTTTCATCATTCCAGATTCATTTTATTTGTGGGGATAGGGGGGCTGGGGATCCAACCCAAGGCCATCAGGCATATTTAAGCTCCAGTCCTCACCCACATAGACTCACATTTTTTACAAAGGGCTTACAGCTTGGCCTGGAACTCACAGAGATCTGCCTGCCTCAGCCTACTATGTGCTAGGATTAAAGATGTATAGCAGCATATCCAGCAAGTCTATTATCTTTTCTAGGTCCCTAACTTTCAGACCTTATTCATAGCATTCCTTTCTTACCTTTCAACCACTTTGTTTAATAAATTTAATGGATTTTAATATTTCTTTTTAGGTTTCATGTATCACTAGACAGCTACAATGCAGGTAGCACTGTGCAATTTACAGAATGTGCACTTCTCCAGTACAGGTCACCTCTTTTCCATTATGGAAATACCTAGCAAAAAGGTTAGTAATCAGGAGTTTGTCTGGAAATTTTAGAATTGGAAGAAAATAGAATAATGCAATTTGGAGGACAAATTATATTGCTTTTGTAATTGGGAAAATATTTTCATATTGAAAAGAGAAATACAAGTTCATTATAGAAAGCAGGTTAATGAAGTAGTGATTTATTGAAAAATGATATGCAAACTAGTAAGCTATACTTTCAAGTTGACAGTGTATTAAGTATTTTCCCATGTTATTAATATTATAATGTTATTTCAATGGTTATATAATAGTTCAGTATTAAATATGACAAAAACAGTACTTATTATTTATAATTTTGTACTTATATAAGTCTTAGTTTGGGTTATTATTGCTGTGATGAAACACCATGACCAAAAAGCAAGTTGGGCAGGAAAGGGTTTATTTGGCTTACACTTAAATATCACTGTTCATCATTGAAGGAAGACAGGACAGAACTCAAGCAGGGCAGGAACCTGGAAGCAGGAACTGATGCAGAGACCATGGAAGGGTGCTGATTACTGGCTTGCTCTTCATGGTTTTCTCAGCCTGCTTTTTTATATAACGCAGGACCACCATTCCAGGGATGGCACCTCCTATAATGGGTTGGGCCCTCCCCCATCAGTCATTAATTAAGAAACTGCCTTACAGGTTTGCCTACAGCCCTATCTTATGGAGGCTTTTGCTTAAATGAGGTTCCATCTTCTCAGATGAACCTACCCTTTGTCAAGTTGACATAAAGTTAGCCAGCACAATACATAAAGGCACTAGGAATATATTTGAAATAGTTGTTTCTATAAATGATTATATAAAATTTAGAAACTTAGGAAAATTCTAGATGAAACATTGGATGTCTTGAAATCTGAGTAGAGTTTTATGTATACACATTGTTTTGTTGAATTTTTCTGTTAGACAGATATACAAAATGACATCTTTCGTTAATTTGCAGTTTTGATTAGAAAAAAATCATTTTAAAATTGCTTATCTGTCACTGTATTTGTTTAACCATATCCTTTTCTCATTTTCATTTTTTAAGTGTATGTGTGTAGTGTATACACATTCATTCAATTAAGTGTTTGGGGCCTCGTGTTCAAGTGTATATGCACATGTGTGCTCATGTGTGTGATGGCCTGGGACTGATGTCAGGAGTCAACCTGGATTTCCCCCCACCTTATTAATTGAGGCAAAGTCTATCAGTTGAACTCAGAGCTTGCCAATAGCTAGCCAGCTTCTAAGAGGATCCCCTGTCTCCACCTTGCAAGAGCTGGTGCCAGGCCCACCCAGTGGGGATCATAACTCCATCCATATGCCTCATGCTTGTATAATGAGTGCTTTAGGCACTGAGCAGTCTCTCCAGGCCCCTTTCCTATTTTTCATGGGAAGAATTATCTTACTGCTTTTCCTCCTTTTCATTCAAGTATAGTGCTTAGCTTTACATTTTTTATTTTACTGTCTGTCACTTTCTGCCTTTAGGAATCTCTTCAAAAAGCCCTTTCTTGTGCCTTTATCAGACTCATGGTATCAGGTCTTAGGTTGAGATCCTTGATCCATTTGGAGTTGCTGTGGAATGTCATTCTGTATGCTGTGAATGTATGTTGCTCTGATTGGCTGACAAATAAAACACTGATTGGCCAGTAGCCAGACATGAAGTATAGGTGGAACAAGCAGATGAGAATTCTGGGAAGAGGAAGGCTGAGTCAGGAGTCTCCAGCCAGACACAGAGGAAGCAAGATGACAAGGCAGAACTGAGAAAAGGTACCATGCCACATGGCTAAACATAGATAAGAATTATGGGTTAATTTAAGTATAAGAGCTAGTCAGTAATAAGCCTGAACTAATGGCTGAGGAGTTATAAAATTAATATAAGCCTCTGTGTGTTTACTTGGGGGACACTAGTGGGAGAGATTTGTCCCAAGCATGGGCCAGGAGGGACACAGGAAAACTTCCAACTACATGGAGTTGAGTTTTTGGTAGGATAAGAGATAAAGATCAAATTCCACTCTTCTACATGTAGTGAGTGATCCAGTTTGACCAGCACCATTTGTTGAATATGCTGTCTTTTCTCCAATATATACTTTTGGCTGTTTTTTTTTTCCAAAAATTAGGTGCCTATTGTAGTGTGGGCTTCTATGTAGATCCTCAATTCTATTTCATTAATCAGTGTTTCTGATTTCAAGGAAAGGGTGCAAGAACAGAGTGGTATAAAAGGTTGAAGTAAAATGATGAAACGGGAATCGTTAAAAGGGATGGTGGCTGAGAGGGCAAAGTAGAAGAGGGAATATGGGAGAGATAACAAATACAAAGGTATTTTGAAGGAGTCATGTGGAAATCTAATGTAGAAGCTTCCTAAAATATATACATACACATAATCAAACAGTTGAAATGGAGTTACCCTATAATGGGGCAGCAGTGCCCCTACTAGACACCACTGACTAACAAATAAAAAGTTCAATGCTAGAAACAGGTTGCCTCTTTTGGAGTTGTTGCACAGTGAGGTCCCGTAGATACCTTACCCCAGTTTACAGGCTATTGCCAACGTTTTTGATTACACTCCAGAACTTGAAAGGAAAACCCTATTACTGAAGATACTGAATACTCAATCATGAAACATGAGAAATCAAGCTGATATGCACCTGGAAGTTTCACCCAAACTGACTAGATTTCATAGTGCTATGAGGTCCTATACATGCTACCAAAGGAAATCTTACCCAGCTGTAGACCCTATTCACAAGGAAAAGGTTTTCCAGACACAGGAAGTTGGTTGCACATATGAGCTCACAGCACTTATGATAACATGCAGATGACCCACATAGGCTCAAACCAGGCAAAATCCCAGCATGGACAGGGGAGGTGAGCACAAAGTCCCACCCCCAGCTAAGGAGCTGTTGGCAGTTGATATCTGCTAGGAGAAGAGAGTCAGTCTTCTTCAAGGATGTGGCCCCTGGTTATAGGTCATCTACATGTTGATGGAAGGCCACACTCTATTACTGAAGATTCCAATTACTTGAATCATGGAACATGAGAAATCAAGCTGGTACACAATGTATATGGACAGTGCAAATTGTACTCTCTCTATATATTTTAGAAAGAGGACACAAAATTGGGTGGGTAGAAAGAAGGAGTGGATTAGAGAGGAGTATGGGAGGGGGTAAATATGATCAAGATATATGAAATGTCCAAAGAACTAATAATTGTAAAGAAAGTATATCATCCATAAAAATACATAGTTATTTTTGTGGAGAATATAAATATAAGTAGTAATTACGTATCTCTTGTTTGAAGAAAATAATTATTTGCATAAGTAGCAACTATTATTTTCTTTTTTGAATCAATAATACAATAAAATGATTATATATCATATGTTTTGACAGAATAGATTATTTTTATCTTTAAACATTTTGTTTTTTATAAGAATAGTGTTTCTTAAACAATATAGTTTAATAGTTACGAGATTCTTCTTATCATATGTCATGATTGAAAGGTATTGCTTCCTTCAGCTTCTTGCTAGAAATGTTTTTGTTTGTTTGTTAGTTTGTGTGTTTGTTTCTTGGGTCTTAAACCTTTAATACCTCTATTTATGAATTATTGAGTAATAGTCTTTAAAGGTTGATAATTCATTTTTAGCTGGGTGTGGT